CTTTTAATCTTTTAAGCTGAGGGCTGGGATTTCTCCACTTAGTGATGTGCAAATCGTGGCAGCATCTTTTTCAGATTTCATTACATAATGATTAGCAGATTACATAACCATCAGGAGACAACCATCAGGCACCTCTGCTTCCTAGGAGCCAACAACGAGAACAATCTACCTACCTCTTTCTATTTTTTAGTTTTTTTTTTTTAAATCACAAAAGTAGCATGAGTCCAACAATACAGAAGTACATAGAACAAAAAGTGAAAGAGAAAAGCTACCCCATGATTTAACAATTGGATTTCTTGACATCTGCCAGAGAAACATAGGCAAGGGCACAAAGCCAGGCACCTGTTGTACGTTGCCTGTAATGCAGAAGCGAAAGCCAGAAGCATTCAAAATGGGGATCCATGCTAAACCCCAGCAGGAGAATGCTGCAGCCATTCTAAGAACGTCTCTCTTGCAAATGATGGAAACCTACATCACTGTGCAAGACGTCCTGTGGACTAGAGAAAGGCATTGGGCAATAGAAAAACAAAAGCCAGACGCTGGTGGCTCATGCCTGTAATCCTAGCTACTTGAGTGGCTGAGATCAGGAGGATCACTGGTTTGAGGCCAGCCCAGGCAAATAGTTCGAAAGACCCACACCTCCAAAATAACCAGAACAAAATGGCTCAAGTGGTAGAGTGCTTGCTTTGCAAGTGCAAAGTCCTGAGTTCAAACTCCAGTCCCACTGAAAAGGAGAAAAGGAAGAAAAATAAGACAGCAACCAGCACTAGCTAGTTTCCAAAGGTACATGTCAGCCTCTCAAGTCAACTGGAGACAGTAATACAGGTGTAGGTATGTTTTTTTAATTATTACATGACTTTTTTTTTTTTGGCAGCTCTGGGGCTTGAACTCAGGGCCTACACCATGAGCCACTCCACCGGCCCTTTTTATGTGATGAGTAATTTTGAGACAGGGTCTTGCAAACTATTTGCCCAGGCTAGCTTTGAACCGTGATCCTCCTGATCTCTGCCTTCTAAATCGGTAGGATTACAGGCATGAGCCACCATGCCCGGCTTGCTTGATTTTTGTTAGTATCTTTCTTCCCCAGAAGATGGTGAACTCGACAAGGACAGAACTGTATCTGTTTCTCTCTCAATTATGTCACTGCTACATGACAAAGACACACTCCCCAGCACCCTGCAGAGGGTCCATAGTACTTGCTTCCTACAGAACTTTCATGAATGCCAGATTTGGTGTTAAATTAAAATGGCACAACTGTGAGCAAGATGGACACAGCCCCTGCCCTCAAGGAATGTCCAGTCTCCTTATCGAAAAGAGATTTTAGTGAAAGAGGAGTAGGATGACTTAACCTGTGATTCAGAATGGAAGGTGGTGAATGTTTTGAAAAAAAGGTTAGAACTTAGCCCAGGCAAACTGAGGACAACGTGGAGGATGAGGTGGCCTGTGAGCTGGGCTTTGAGTGACCTGAACATGTGAGCAGGTCTGGATTCCCTTCCAGCTTAAGGAAGAATCCAAAGGCAAGAGCCAGGAGCTGTGTGCTCGTGGCTCACGCCTGTAATCCTAGCCACGAAGGAGGCAGAGATCAGGAGGATTTCGGTTCAAAGCCAGCCAGGCAAGTAAAAAAACCTATCACAGAAAAAGACTGATGGAGTGGCTCAAATATAGGCCCTGAGTTCAAGTCCCAGTACTGTTAAAAAAAAGGCAAGAGCCAGAAGTTGAGCAAACACCTAACGTGGTTCTGGGTACCAAGCAGTACTAGGGTAGTAGAGCTTGGTACTGTGTGGTACTGGACATTAGTAGGAATGTACTCTCACATATTTCCTGGCATTCAATAAATACTTCATTGAGAAAGCATGGTGACCTCTCACAGGTAGAGGCAGGGCTCGGGGGAGGCTTGGAACCTCAAAGAAGGCCCAGGGCGAGCTGAAAGCTGGTTGTCAGTCTTCACCACAGTCGGTAAGAAAAGCTTTCCTCTCTTCCCCCAACTCCCCAAGCCCCATAGAAACCCAACTTCTGAAGCTTCAAAGTCCTTACACCACCCAAAGTCCAAAGGTAACTAACCCTGTGGGCTGAGGACTGTCACTAGTGGGACCCGCCCAGCCCAACCCACCTCCAAGGATTGGATTGGATAACCCAATATTTTCTCTAGATGGCTCTTAATTACACTGAAAACTACCCCAGAGGTTCTTCCCAGGAGTGCAGGGACGAAAGCCACAGCCAGTTGTCAGATAGCAATGGTATCTCTGGAGCCAGAGGACTGATCCCAGTCTGCCATTTTCTATCTATGTGACCTTGAACAAGCTCCTTTTTAAACTTCCACTTCCTTAGCAGCAAAACCTCTGCACGGTCAGGAGATTAAATGGTCTAACACATGGTGTCAAGTACAGAATGGACATTCAACAAAAGCTTGTTGATTCCTAGCTTAAACCCAGGGCTTCACACGCGCTGAGTCACATCCCCAGCCTGGCTGACATGCAGTATTCTAGAAGCAACAGTTTTGTTTGTTTGTTTGAAACAGGATTTAGCTATGCACTCAGGCTGACCTTGAACTCTCGATTCACCTTACTCAGGTTATTTAACGCTGGGATTACAGGTGTGAACCACTATGTCTGTCTCTCAGAAGCAGCATTTTGTGTGATTATCCCCATGTCTTCTTGGTTGTACCTTCACCACCATATTGTCAGTCCAAGCAGGATTCTTGAGTAGTTGCACGCCGGTGTCTGCCGTTAAAACTGCTTGCAAGACTGTCCAATTTTATTTTTATTTCCAGGCTATGCCCCCTATAGGGCAGGGGCAATAAACACTTTGGAGAACTGGAAATAAGAGAAGTGGTATTCACCTGCAGGCCAGTTGAGTCTGTGAGGCACTCATGTGTGCCCCTAGTGGTGCAGGTAGGAATTCCTTCTGCTTCGCTGCAGTTGTTTTGGCAGGCTTGAGGAACCTGCTGAAATCAACATGAAAGAATCTGCTCACAGGTATGCTGTAATACATAATAAGGCAAATTCCACCTAATTTAGATAATTACAGGGATAAATTTTATATGCTTCCAGAGGCTGAGAGGCCTTTGGGGTCTGAGGGATACATGATCTAAAGGCTAAATTCATTTCTAATTCACTATGCCTAAGGCACCACCATTTAATTTTCACTTACAAAGTGATGCGTGAGGCCAGGCATGTCCAATGTATTCCGTGAGGTTTGTTCACGTTATTCTCCTCATAAGACAATTTCTCCTCGTATGGCAATAAACCAGATGATTCCTAAAATCAAAAAGAAAACGGATGAGACTAGGTGTGGTGGTGCACACTTGTAATCCCAGCACTCAGGGATGGAGGCTAGAGAGTCATGAGTTCCAGGCCACCTGGGCTACATAGCAAGCCCTTGTCTCAAAAACCAAACGAAAGCAAAATAAAACCCAAAAATTGATGCACAAAATTGGTAGAAGAGGATATAGAATGACAAGAAAGTCTTCCTTCAGGTCCAGAACCCAAACCCCAGGTTCCCAGTTTCCCTGGAAGCCACTGGTACCTGATTCTCCAGAATCTCTCCAGAGGTGGTCAGTTCGCCCTGGTTTGTCCTGGACCTTCTTAGTTTTAGTCTTGCATGCAGGGAACCCCTCAGTCCAAGGCCAGCTTGGACAGTTTGGAAAGTAGAGTTACTTTCCAAAAGCAGAAAACATGTAACATCTACTGGTCACATTACTCAACACCCAATTTATTTTAATTAAAATATGTTTTGCAGAGCATTCCATATAAGCTCTATATTGAATTAACAAATACTTATGGCTATACCATGCATGTACCAGGCTCTATTTTAGGGGCTGAAGATACAGTAGTAAACAAAATGGACAAAAACCCCTGTGCTCATGGAGTTGACAGGCTAGCTATTATATCTGTTGGATTTATTTATTTATTTAAATGATGTCCCTGGTCATCATTTCGGTTGCCTCTGGTCTTTTTCCACTGTGACCAATGCTGTCCTGGACGTCCATGTATAAGGAAGTCCAAGAACTTCCAGGCAGTGCTGTCGATCTCCTGTGTCCAGTGCAAAGCCCTCAACCACTTTCGCTGTTCGACAATAGAAATACGGTTAGTGAGGCTGAATAACTGCATTTTTTGTGGCAGCACTGGGGTTTGAACTCAGGGCTTCAGGCTTAGCTAAAAAGGCACTCTACCACTTGAGCCACTCCCCCAGCCTTTTTTTACGTTGGGCATTTTCAAGATAGGGTTTCACAAACTATTTGCCCGGCCTGGCCTTGAACCATGATCCTCCTGATCTCTGCCTCCTGAGTAACGAGGATTACAGGTGTGAACTAGCAATGCCCCAAATGAATAATTAAAATTTTAATTTACTTAATTTAAATGTATTTAAGAAAATAAATAAATAAATAAATGTATTTAAGTTTAGGGTTGGGGTGTAGCATGTGAGAGTACTGAGTTTGATCCTTAGTGCTGCAAAAAAAAGAAATTAAAATTAGGCACAAATACTGAACAGCACAGGTCTGTAGGATAAGGTCTTGGAAACAGAAAAGGTATATGCTTTTGTAACTTTATAACAATTATTGTTCAATAATAAGGTCGTATTAGTTATTCATTGGTGCATAACAAATTGCTCCCAAACTTAATGGTTTAAACAATTCACATTTATCTAATCACTTCTTGGCCTTCTGACTACCATCAAGAGCAGCCACAATGCGCTGTCTCCGTTTCCGTGGTGAGGGGTGTGGGCATGGTGCAGCTGGGTTCTCTTTTTAGGCTTTCACGAGACTATGATCAATGTCACCTGAGCCGCAATCTCACCTGGAGCCCCAACTGGAGAGGCCTGAACTGCCCAGCTCGCCTAGGCGGTGGGCCGAGTCAATTTCCTTTGTGGTTTAGAGACAGGAGCCCCGCCCCTCCCGGCCACTGGCCCCGCCCCTCGCGCGTGCGCCGACGCCGCCTCGGCCCCGCCCCTTTCCCCCCCCCGCCCCCCGGCTCCTTCTTGGCGTTGCGCGGCGCTCCGCGGCAGCAAGATGGCGGCGCAACAGCAACCCCGAGAGGGCGTCACGCAGTTGGCGGGGCCCGCGGCGGAGGCCGACCCCCTCGGCCGCTTCACTTGTCCTGTGTGCCTAGAGGTGTACGAGAAGCCGGTGCAAGTGCCCTGTGGACACGTGTAAGCGGCGAGCTCGGGCCCGGTGGGGGACGCCTGACTGAGAGGGAAATGGGGCTGAGGAGCGAGGGCCCCGACAGCCGCGTCTGAGGCGAGGGCGAGAGGACGGGCCTGAGGGGCCGCGGGGCGGGAGTTGGCGGGCGCGCGTGCCTCCCGTCCCTTCCCACCGTGACGGGATGGCGGCCGTCCGTTGAGCGCCGCTGTGTTGCCGGGCTCCTTGGACGGGTCGGGGTCTGAGGTCCGCCCTGGGCGTCCCGCCCCGCCAGTATCGCTAACGTGCACTAAAGTTGGAGAAGCGCTGAGCCGGCCTGAGGGAACAAAAGGGAAGTCCTGAAAAGCTGTGCAGCGCGTCCCGCCCCGCCCCGTCCCGTCCCGCGGTTTCCACGGCGCACGGGGAAACGGGAAACGCCGGGCCGGCTGTTCGCGCCGCTCCGAAGCGTGGAGGGTCTGTTGGTGCCGGGACCAGAGGGGCTCCCAAGCCGTCCCCCTCGCACGGACCGAAAAGATCGTGTTGAGCTTGGCCTCCCTCATTGCTTTAGCATGGGCATCACTTGGGCAGTGGCCGCGGTGGCCCCTTTACCGGTGGCAGGCAAGTGAGTGCCGTATGGTACCTGTTGTTTCCATAGCAGCCCTTCTCGGGGGCGGGGGGGGGGTGCGGTGGACTGGGCTGTCGGCAGCCGTTTTACAGGTGAATAAACTCTTGAGTACTGAGGCTCACTTGGGTCAGGGCTCACCAGTGCCTAACTGTCCCCAGGTACATGGTAGGTGCCTGCCTGTAGCCCAGAGGACACTGCTTGGCGCCTGACAAGGGCCCCACAGCCACATTGGCTTTTTGCTGCTTAAGTGCACTAAGCTCTTTCCCACTTGGGGCTATTCTTCTTTGCAGTTCAGTTAACCTGGAGCTCTTCTGGTCCCACTACCCCAGATTTCTTTTGAAGCTTCAAGTTCCTCCTTTCTCTCCTGGGGCTTCTTTGCTTTTTTTTCCTTAACATAGCAACACTTTGGGATCATGAGGGAAGTGACTTTATTCCACCCTCTTACTGAGTCAGAACATCCATATTCCCATTGTCTGGTAACTTGACTGGAGTGTTTGCCCTCCATGTGCCAGATCTTTTGGGTAAAGGCAGGTGATTCTGCCTTGCCTCAAGGTTTACAACCCGGTAAGTTGATTATAAATAAGCACTAATGAATGCTCAAGCAATGTTGTAGATTCTCTGTCCAATGGGAGGGATTACAGAGATCAGGACTCAGGGTGGGTGGGTAGGTAGGTATTAACATTTGTAAAAAGACTTGACCCACCTGAAAAGCAGCAACATTTGAGGTCTCCTTGAACCAGCCGAACCTTTCCTAGGTCAGAGGGCAAGAAAGACAAGGATCAAGCCTTGTCTTTCTTCTCTGTGCACCACACCAGCTCCATGTGTTTAGCAGTTCAGTACTAATTGAAGATAGGTGGATACACCTTGGTGCACGCAGCGAAAAATCTCCTTAGCTCCAAATGCTTTCTGCTCTACCTAGTTGATTTTTAAATTTTGTGCTTGGAAATTTAAGTTTCACTGAAGCTGTGACTGGGGCATTGGATTTTTATAAAACTATTTCAATCCCCAAATGACTACATCCTGTTCATTCTAGTGGAATACAACTGGAGAAGGGCAGGCGATTAAGTGCTGATTAAGTCAAGGGGGTTTCCACATAGCACCAGTGCAGAAATGGTGGAGCACCTGGAAGGCTGAACTAGAAAAAGGCCCATTAGTAGGAAATAGAAACCGAAGGCGAAGCTGGGCACCAATGGCTCATGCCTGTAATCCTGTCTGCTCTGGAGGCAGAGATCAGGAGTATCAAGGTTTGAACCAAGCCTGGGCAAATAGTTTGCAAGACCCTATCTCAGAAATGCTCAGCACAAAACAAGGCTGGCAGAGTGGCTCCAGTGGTAGAGCACCTGCCTAACAAGTATGAGGCCTTGGGTTCAAACCAGTACTTACCAAATATAAGAAGGAAAGAAAAAGCCAGCCCAAGGTACAGTTTTAGAAGCAGGCTTGTTGTTTGGGTATAACTCAGGCATAAAAGGGCTTGTGAACATTTGTACAACACTGTGCTTGGGGTAGGTTGATGCTTTTATCTACATGCTGGGTTTGCTTTCAGTGTACTGTCTGCAATCCTCTGTACTCTATTGGGTTACTCTTGTAATCCACCTTTGTAGAGAGGCAATGCAGTGATAGCATGAGGCACTGCCTGCTCCTACGTCATTGCCCCAAAGACTTTCCTTTCTGCCTTTCAGACACTCCTTTGTGTTTGATGTCATCTGTCTGTGGCACTCTTTGCATCCAGATCTGTGTCTGTCTGTATAATCAAGTCTCAGTCAAACGTCAGCTCTTCAGATCACTTCCTGTGATCACCCCAGCTGATTTCTGCTTCATTTTATTTTCTTTATTTAATAACTGTATGAAATTAACATGTGTTTGTTCTCCACTTAGTATATAGGATCATGAGGACAGGGACTCTGTCTCATTTCTACTCTCCCCTCAGAGGTAAATAAACAAACTCCTTCACCTCCCAGTCTGGTCTGGAGTTTTGCCTAGCAGCATTGACATGTACCTTAATGATAAGAGGGAAGAAATTAGGAGAAAGTGTTTTAAAAAAAATCAGGTATGCAAATTACCTTTAATTATTTATCCTTGGCTCTTCTGGCAGATTTTGTTAATCTTGCCTTAAAAATCTATCAGATCAGGTGAGTAGCACAGGGTATTTTCATGCTTTGCTGTACATTCTTTCTGTGTATCACATCTCAGCATCACTACCTGCCAGAGCTTCAGGGTAGAAATTCTGTTTTGACTTCTCCAAGTTCAGTAAGTCACCAAATCATACTGCCTCTGAATCACTTCCTGAATCCATCTCTGTCACCTCAGTCAAGCCTTCACAATCCCTTACCTTTAGTCATCTGTTAGATTCTTTTTATCTTTCCTCACCTAAAGACAAAACAAGATGAAAACACTGTTGTCCATGGTGTGCCAGGTATTTTTCTGAAACTTGTATATGGTCCCTTTTTTTTTTTTTTTTTGGGTGGTACAGGGTTTGAACTTAGGGTTTCATGCTTGCTAGGCTGGCACTCTACCACTTAAGCCACTGTACCAGCCTATATGGTCTTTTTTGATGCCGTCCTTTAAACGTTTAACTCCCTATGGCTTTTTAAAAATTTTTTATTAGGATATATTCATTGTGACAGTTCCATATAGGCTTATATTGTACATTGGTTAGATCACACCCTCCGTCTCTCGCCCTTTACCCCCTCTCCACCCTGATTAGAGCAATTGCAAGAGGTTTCTTTGTTCTGTTTCATGTAAGTGTATGAAGTCCATTCACCATATGCCTTTGCCTTATTCTTCATTTACCCTCCCTTCTCCAAGTATCTCCCCCCACACAGTACCTATTTTACAGTTTTGTCTTTTGTTATTACTAGTTAAGTCGTTCAGAGAGGTGTCTCAATGTGTCCCCACTGTGAGTCTTACTTTGGTTCATTCAGCTCCTTCCATTATTCTCCCTTAGCCTTTTACCTCCCCATTTTTCAGTAGCTTTCAGTACATATCCTTAGTCCTCTACCTACGCAGATGTGTTTTACAAAATTGTTGATGCTCTGTAAATCTCATTTCCTTTCCCTCCCTATGGCTTTTGAGGAAAAGTCTGTTAGGTTTTCATTTCCTCAAGTGTATTATAAATTTTAAGCCTGAAGACCTGAGTTTTTTTCTCTGCCAATTGCAGTCTTTTAAGGCTGATCATGGAGGCTGACTCTGAAGTCTTACCAGCCTCATTCTCGGGTTACATCTAGTTGCTGTTGCTTTGTGTTCCTATAGTGCTTTGCTTTCATCTCTAATGACAACAGTTCCCATTTATTGTGTGTTTCATATGTTCTAGACACTGTAGTAGGAGTCTACTATACATATGCCATCCTCCTAGCATTTCTAGCGGTAGGTACTACTATTTTCATCTCACAGAGTAGAAAATGAGCTGCTTCAGGAAACCCCATCAAGATCCCTCGGTAGCAGATGCTAAGCTTCAGAGCCTCAACCATAACATCTTTTACCATGTAGCATGGTATTTTGTGGTGTTTTTTTTTTTTTTTTTTTTCCCCTGTTACTGGACTTGTGTGTGCTTCAGTCTCCCCCTACCCCAAACCACAATGTTTCTGTCCTAGAATGGCTTAATATTTGAATTGGGTATAGGAAACAAGTTGTTTTTAATCCATTATTCATTGATGTCTTCTTAAAAGTTGATCCACATTTTGTTGTCTTGTCCCCACAATGCATGACGGAAGTTCTCTGTATGTCTTGTTCTAGCTTTTGCTCTGCATGCCTGCAGGAATGTCTGAAGCCAAAGAAACCTCTCTGTGGGGTGTGTCGCAGCGCTCTGGCACCTGGCTTCCGAGCTGTGGAGCTCGAGCGACAGATCGAGAGCACAGAGACTTCTTGCCATGGCTGCCGTAAGAATGTATGTGGAAGAGTCAGTGTCTTTCCCTGATGAGATGGGGTAAAGCAGAGCTGTGCCACGTCATTTCTGAAGTCAGAGCACAGCTAGGTGACTAGCAGCACGTATGCATGCCAATCATCTGTGGTGATGGCTGTGCTCTTAATTTTGTGACCTTATTGGTTTGTTTTTTTCATGAGTTGGCTTAGTGTATTATATATTTTAGCTTTGAAAGCCATAAAAATCTATCTCAGGTTTTTTTTCCTGTAAGACTTATTTTCCAAAGCATTGTATATAATTTTAATTAAAATACGACAGTCCATGTGTTTTTTAATATAAAATGAAGTTAGTAACTCAAAAAAGCTATCTCCTGCAGTGAATTTGAAGAAAAACTTCATAATCTATGAAGAGACATAAAATTTAATGGTTCAACTATTTAGCACTCGACTGGGAGGGATCATGATACAAAGTTCAGTAAGCAATCATTATAATAACAATATCTGACATGTGGAATGCATCTGTGTTCTTTTATAATCATATTAGAGTCAAGTATATTTGCTTTACATCTCGTGTAACTGCTACTGGAAAGGAGAAATACTGTTCTCTTTTTTTTTTTTTTTTTTTTTTTAAAGCAGCACTGGGGTTTGAACTCGGGGCCTCATGCTTGCTAGACAGGTGCTCTACAACTTGAGCCACTCCATCAGCCCTTTTTTGTGAAGGGTTTTTTGAAATAGGATCTCAAGAACTATTTGGGTTGGCTTCGAACCTCGATCCTCCTGATCTCTACCTCCTGAGTAGCTAGGATTACAGGCGTGAGCCACTGGCACCTGGCCAATAATTTTGTCTTATTTTCCAAGAGATGTAGATAGCCTCATTGGTTTTAAAGTCATATTTTTTATTCCACACAGTATATAGTATTGGCTTATTCCTCATTCCATACACAACACTTCAAAAGTGGTTCAAAAAAGAAAGTAGTTCAGTTTAAAAAGCTGCCTAATATTTTCTACTGCTTGGCAGACAGAGATGTAAAGTTTTTATAAACACATACTAATTTTTTTTTCAAATGGGATCATACTGTATAACATTTTGTTTTACTTATCTATTGAATAGCTGTGTCTGTTTCTTTTTCTTTTTGTCTGTTCTGGGGATCACACTCGGGGCTTTGCACATGCTAGGCAGGTCCCTTACCGTTGAGCTGTAGTCCCAGCCCTCGGTTACGTTATTTTTAACTGAGGTCATAGAGTGGTCACAGCATGACTGTGCCTTACTGTTTCTTTCCTTGGAGGGACTTTTACAAAGCTGTATGTGGCTAGTTCCCAACCATTTCAATGAGGGGCTCCTTGGCTGGCAATTTAATGGCAAAAAGTACTTGGTAAGACAGTCACAGTGAGCCAGAGTGCAAATAATAGAACTTCTACTTTCTTATAGTTTCCTTTAATTCAGAGACTCAAGGTACTGAAATAAAATTTCCTATTCCCTCTGTCTTTATGCATGTGTGGATTTTTTTCTTCTCTTCCCCGTATGCTTTTCATTTTCTCCATTTTTAAGATAACTCAAATTGTTTTTCTTTCCCTTACCTCTGTTTTCATTCTTTTACACTTTACCCAGGTGGGGTGTGGTGGTATGTGCCTATAGCCCCAGCTTCTGGGGAGACCAAAGCAGGAGGCTTGCTTGAGTCCGAGAGTTTGAGGCCAGCCTGGGCAACATAGCAAAACCCCATCTCAAAAAAAATGGGGGTGGCTGGGAATGTGGCTCAACTTGTAGAGAGCTTGCCTAGCATACACAGGGCCCTGGGTTCCATCCTCAGTAACACACATACACGCACCAAAAACAAATACTAGCAGTGTAACACAGATAAACCACATGGTTTGCATGTGGGAGAGGCCCGGGTTCCATCCCCAGCACTGTGCAAAAATCCAGAAAGAACCTCTGATGAAGCACTCTTCTGAGGTTTGTTTTTTTTTTTCCTCTTTTTTGGCAATATTGGGGTTTGAACTCTTGAACTCAAGCTCTTGCGCTGCTGGGTAGGTCCTCTCTATCACTTAGCCATGCCCCAGCCCTCCTGAGTTTTTTTTCCCCTCTCCATCTTTCTTTTGCAAAGCCTAGATTTTATATGAAAGAATTTGGATAACAATTTTTAAAAGATTATTTTTAAAAAATCATCTATCACAATCTGGCAATTAGTATTTAACCAGTGATACTAGCTTCTATGTCTTAAATGATCACTTTTCTTTGTCATACATCATGGAATGTGGCTCTTGGCTTACTGTACAAGTGTAGAAAACTTAAAACACTGTGTTTGGAGCATGTCTGTAGGCAGAGAGCATACTTTATGAGTAAAGCAAACCTCTAGGAGATGGTTACTTTAGAGTGGAAGCAGACGTTGTGATTTAGTGAGGTAAAACATCAGCATTGGTATTAATGAGAAACCTACAGTAGTCAGAAGTGTAGTTAGGTTGTTTGCCAAGGTGATACAGGTCCAGTTTTCCTCTTACTCTTGCTTTGAGATTATACCTGGTCCTCACTAACTTGTGGGCTCTCGTTCTTCCTATTCAAGTTCTTCCTGTCAAAGATCCGGGCCCATGTGGCTACCTGTTCCAAATACCAGAATTACATTATGGAAGGTGTGAAGGCCACCACTAAGGATGCATCTCTTCAGCTAAGGTAAATAACTCAGTCACACCTCAGCTAGAGTTCATTTTCTTGTAGTAAGATACTGGACACTCCATGTTCAAGGGTTTAGTGGTGTGGACTTGGGAAAGTGGAGGCATAATTGCTAATGCCATTAAAGCTGACACAGTATTTGCAGGGGGGAAACTGATGTTCACTTCAGGTGTTAACTGTGCTCTTATTTTGACATTTGAGTCTTCAGTGTGATTTTCAGAATCCTTGTCATACTTGTTCAGTAAACTTTGCTCTTTGGGGGCATACAACAGTTAAGATTGAGTGGGAAGGTACTTAGAAAGGTTTTCCTTTCTGTCTTTCATCTTCCAGGAATGTCCCAAACCGTTACACCTTTCCCTGTCCTTACTGTCCTGAGAAGAACTTTGACCAGGAAGGACTCGTGGAGCACTGCAAATTATCCCACAGCACAGACACCAAATCTGTGGTAAGAACAACCTTTTCTTTTTTAGTGGGAAGTACAGTTAACTCTGCATACCCTTCACCTAGAATCACAGATTGACATTTTACCATGTTTGCTTAACCATACTCTTAATACACTTGTTTTTTGCTGAACCATTTGGGAATAAGTTATGAATACCATGACTCTTTGTCTCCTTAATATTTCAGTGTATATCCTGAGAACAAGAACATTTTCTAACAGAATCACATATTTTGTATGTCATTATCACATCCAGGAAGTTTCACATTGAGGCAATCTAACATCTAACGTGAAATCCATGTTTAAATTTTAACCACTGAGATGTCCTTCATTAGTGAAACCTTCCTTCTGTACCCAGAGTAGGAGGTACAGAAGTACAGTCTCTTCTGGGTGCCACATTAATGGTCATGAAATGTCTGTTGATCTGGTTGTTGAAACATTAAATGTGGTTCCCTGGGTGTCTACCAGGTTTCTTAACCAGAAGCTTTCTTGAGTTTGATAATTTACATTAGAAAAACTAGAAGTTCTGGCAAGAGTCAGTTGTCTTCGAGTAGTTTCTGTCCCCTGTACATGGCATGGTCTTATGTCAGGCCTGCTTCTCTCATTTGCCTTCGTAGCCTTGTCCCTGTGAGTACTTGCAGCACTTTCCTTGGCCTTATTCTGCCTTGGTGTTGAGAAAGAAAGCTCCTTTTCAAGTCTGTCTTCTATCTGTGTTCTGAGTTCTAGGTAAAGGATTGAAACAAGAGCCTGGCATAGTATATGTTACACATTTGCTGCTTCTCTTATCTTCAGCTCTGCTCTACCTCTTTTTTTTTTTTTTCCCCCCATCAAGAGGTAATATTAAGACTTAAAAAAAAAAAAAAGAAAGAAAAGAAAACAAGTGCTGGTGGCTCACACCTATTATAATCCTAGTTACTCAGGAGAACCTCTGTTCAAAGCTAGCCCAGGCAAATAGACAAACCATATCTCAAAAATATTTGACATAAAAAAGGGCTGGTGGAGTGGCTCAAGTGGTTGTGAGATCTTGAGTTCAAATCCCAGTATAACAAAAAAAAAAAAAAAAAGTTGTCCAGTTGGTGGGAAAAACACTTGACCCAGTACTTTCCTCTAGGTAGCATTCAGTTCTGTCTTCTGTCTTCCGTCTTATGGTTTTCTAGCTGCTGCTGCTTTTTCTTCTGTGCCCTCTCCTTTGTTCCTTCTAAAGTCTGTCTTCCATCCTCCTCATCACATTCTAACACCAATTCTCTGTGGTGTCACATGGTCTTTTTTGGTCTTACAGTAGTACTAAGGGTTGAACTCAGGGCCTTGTGTTTGTTAGGCAAGCGCTCTACCATTTGTGCCATGTCCCCCAGTCTTCCAGCTGGTCTTGTTAGAGTACTTGTTTTCTGTCACATTTGAAATTTGGATTTTTTTTGTTTTTGTTTTTTGGTGGTACTCGGGTTTGAATTCAGAGCCTTCACTGTTGAGCCACTTCACCAGCCATTTTTTGTGATGGGTTTTTTCAAGATAGGAGCTCTTAAACTGTTTGCCCAGACTCACTTCAAACTATGATCCTCCTGATCTCTGCCTCCAGAGTAGCTAGGATTGCAGGCGTGATCCACCGGGTACCCAACAAAAATTGATTATTCGGATTCAAAAATAATTAAATAGTGTCATCATGGCGCTGATCTCCATTTCTCTAATATTTGTGTCTCTTACATAGATTATTGAAATTTTGAGAGCAGATGCCAGTCTGGATTGCTCATTGCAATGCTATTTTGCTTTCTTATCCTAACATGACTGCATGGTATATACTCTTTGGTAGTAAGAGGTGTGTTTTGTAAAGCACAATCCAAAGTCAAGGTTTGTTTTTTTATTTTTTTGGGTTTTTTTTTTTTTGTTGTTGTTGTTGTTTTTCTTTTTTGGGGTGGGACTGGGGTTTGAGCTCAGGGCTTCTCCCGTGTAAAGCAGGTATTTTGTCACTTGTGCCACATTTTGCTCTGGTTATTTTGGAGATGGGATCTTGCCAACTGTTTGCCTGGGCCAGCCTCCAACTGTGATCCTCCTGATCTCAGCCTCCAAAGTAGCTAGGATTACAGGTGTGAGCCACCAGTGCCCGACTCATTAACATTTTCTTAATGGCTCCATGGTTTTCCATTCTATGGTTGTGCCATTATTTATTGGTCTCTTAGTAATGGTCAGTCCCAGATAATATTAGGAAGTTTGATTATGAATTGTATTTTAAGTTCTGTTAAGTAATTATTTTTGTTAGGTAAAATAATGGAATTGTTTATAAGGGGAAATATCATCATCTTGTTGTTTTTGAGATGGGGTCTCACTGTGTGAGATTGGCCTAGAACCCCTGCCTCATTCTCTTGAGTGCTGGGATTGCAGCTGTTCACCACCATGCTCAACTTGGGAAGCACCTACTTTAAGGATTGTACTTGAAATAGTTAAGGGTGAAAAAACGCCAAAAACGCCTCATTCTAAAATGCTTTTTTTTTTTCCTGAAATAAATATGCCAGGTTTAAATGCAGGAGATAAGGGAAGGTTCATCAAATGACTATATGCTTTTCTGCAGGTTTGAAATTTTTCATGAAAAGTCTTAAGTTTCTGCTGGGCATGGTGGTAATGTATGCCTACAATTCCAGATGGCTGCCTCATGGACTGCATAATGTCCTAGGGAAAAAAAAAAAAGCAGTTTGTGTTACTTATTTGGAGACAGGGTGTTACTGTAGTGTTTGTTTTTGGTGGGACTAAGTTTTGAACTCAGGGCTTGGGACTTGCAAATCAGGCACTCTACTGCTTAAACCATGCCTCCAGTTCATTTTGCTGTGGTTGTTTTTGAGGCGATAGTCTTTAGAACTGTTTGCCCAGGCTGGCCTCGAACCTCAGTCCTTCCATCTCAGCCTCCCAAGTAGCTAGGATTTCAGGTGTGAGTCACTAGTGCCCACCAGTTTTACTGTATTGCTCAGGCTGTTCTCCAAGCAGTCATCCTGCCTCAACTTCCAGAGTAGCTGGCATTATAAGTATGCTCCACCACACCCAGGTTACAGCTATAAGTTTTGATATGTTTACCTATGTGTTTATGTTTTGTACTTGCCTGTGTGTTTATTTGCTTGTATATGTTTTCAGTGCTGTGGACCAACCCAGGACTAGCCTGATATGTGCTAGGCAAGTGCTCCCCACTCTGTTTCTCTATAGTTAAGTCTTAGGCTGTAGGTTAATTTGGTGAAAGGTTACTGTTACCTGCACAGATAGTTTTGATGGCCATTGCTAAACTACTCTGTTTTCTGGTACTGCAGCCTAGTTTTCTCCCTTCTTTTCCCTGTTTTTTCCTGCCTCCTCCCTTTGGCTTCCTGAAATCTCTGATGATATTGTCTCTGTTGAGACCTTCTCTTCCTTTAGCTGTTGGCCCTCCATTCTAGCTCCTCACCCTCTACAGCTTCTTAGCTCTGGAGGGCTCAGCCCATTCCTTGTAAACCACCACTTCCTCAGCCTCCAGTCCTGACCTGTGTTCGAGCACCATAGTGATAGCAGCCTGCTTGCTTCTGCCATCCCCGAATCTCTTGCCATCCCCCTTTGTCACAGTGTTCTCCTTGCAGTTAGCTAGGATTCTGTCGCCAAGCTAGAGCACTATGCCCTTTTGTGTGAATTTTCCACTCCAACCAGGCTGGAAATTTGCCTCTAATGCTGCCACCTCCTAGCACCTTCTCCATGCTGCTGCTGTTTCTGCTTCTCTGAACACCCTTGCGTGGTCTCTGTGCCTCTCCATATACCTCCCAACTTTCAATGTCCAAATCAGCTTTTAAAATTAAAAAGAATTTTTTCCATGCTAGGGATTAAACCCAGGGCCTTGCACATGATAGGTAAGCACTCTACCACTGAGCCACATACCCAGCCCCATAGCTGTCCAGTTAAGTGTGTGGTGTAGGGAGGCCCAAACTCTTGGCCCCTCTTTCAAGCTTTGATGCTGCTGTTCACAGCCAGTCCCAAGGTAAGCCAGAGGGCAGGCTCTGTGCCTCCCTCCCTAGTTAGGATCACAGCTAACCCCAGACTCTATTAGCCTCAACAGATGTCTCCATTCAGCTCAAGAAGGGGAGATGAGGGCTGGAGGTGTGGCTCAAGTGGTAAAAATGCCTGCCTAGTAACCATGAAGCCCTGAGTTCAACCCCTAGTACCACAAAAATAAAAAGGGATGGGTGTGATGAGCTGGGTGTTGCTGGTTTACATCTGTGATCCTCTTGGGAGACTGAGATCAGGAGGATCAAGATTTCTGGCAAAATAGCTCACAAGATCCCATTTCCAAAATAACCACAGCAAAATATAGTAGAGATGTGGTTCAAGCAGTAGAATGTCTGCTTTGCAGGTGTAGAACCCTGAGTTCAAACTCCAATCCTTCCAAGAAGGGGAAGAGGAAAGAACACAGAGTTTTCCTCCAGACTCTTTCCTGTCTTTCTCCTGATAATAGGTGACCTGAAGGGGCTGAAGGTTGGACAGCCAACTTGAGTTTAAGAAGGCACCTTCTATGGGCTTGAGAGCTAAAGTTGAGTTGGTCGCCTAGATTGAAGGAGGCAAACTGCCTAAGTTTAGGGAATCTGAGCATTTGCCTCTTGGATTCAAGAAGGGAAGCCTCGGGTCTGGCATACTCATTAGAGAGGCTGGCACCTGCTGTCTGAGCTCCAGAAAGGTTGACCCTCAGAACTTACACTCCAAATGCCAACTAAGATTGGAGAAGCTGGAGGTCTGCCTGCTGCCTAAATTTAGTTGACCAGAGCCTGGGTTCAGGAAGGAGGGAACTAGTCCTGCCAGCTCAGGTCTGAGAAGTTGGTGCCCATTCACTGCTCAGGTTCTGCTTATATCTCTGGCTGAGAAGTCTGCCCCAGAAAAGGAAACTGGACGCTCCACCACCTGAGATCAGAAACTGCCCCCTGTGGTCTGCATTGAGGGGCCTGTGATGCCCATTCTCTCACCTGGGCCACGCTGGCCTACTGGGACTGCCATGCCAGGGAGGGGAGTGCAGGATGTGAGTAAGTAGAGTGGGAAAGCCTGTGCCGAGTGTCCACTACTGTCGTACCCCCAGGTGAACTTGCTAAGTGAACCCTCTCTGACTTGATCCCTGTCATCTGAGCATTCATTGGTTTCCTTGCGCTTTTGGATTGTATTTGTATGTGGCTAGATTACTGTATTGTGGCCCCCCAGTGAGGCTGACTCTCCTCTCAGAGCCTTTACCCGCCCTCACATGTCATTTGACTTGAATAAAAGACTTGGTATATTCTGGGATGCTCATGTGCACAGAAAAGAATGACCAGGCACTGGACTGGTGTCAGGAAAACTGACCAGGGAAAAAGGAGGCCAGACACAGGCCGTGGAGGGGCTGGATTCAGCTCAGATATCAGATATCTAAAACCTTGCTTCATTGACAGGTTTGTCCAATATGTGCCTCGATGCCTTGGGGAGACCCCAACTACCGCAGTGCCAACTTCATAGAGCATATCCAGCGCCGGCACCAGTTTTCTTATGACACCTTCGTGGTGAGTCTGACCCCTCCTCCAGGAGAACTACTACTCACTTCACTAAAAAGGGGAACTCGGCTGGGCATCCTGGCTACTCAGGAAGCAGAGATCAGGAGGATCGAGGTTCAAAGCCAGCCCAGGCAAATAGTTCAAGAGACCCTATCTCAAAAAAACCCGTTACAGAGAGGGGCTGGTGGAGTGGCTCAAAGTATAGGCCCTGAGTTCAAACCCCAGTACTGCAAAAATAAATTAATTTTTAAAAAGGCAAACTGGGTGCCCTGTCACTGGACTTTGTCACTAATATGATGGGCTCCCAGTTCCTGGAACAGTAGGTTTGTGGGCAGGCTGATGGCCAGGATGGGGTTTAAGATGACCTATCGATTATCTAGACAGATACGGTGAGGTTTATTTATTTCTTCCTCCTCTTTCCTCTACCCCCAATTTTGCTCACTTTTTTTTTTTTTTTGGTGGCACTAAAGTTTGAGCTCAGAACTTGAGCTTCCTAGGCAGGCACTTTACAACTTGAGCTACAACACCCACCAGCCCTAATTTTCTCTTGGTATGTATAATGTCTACACATTGTAGAATTTAGTTTGGGTTGAGTTCAGCTCTGCTGCCCATGAGGATCAGGCGAGTAACAGAAATGGTCCTTACAGGATTCATAAGCTGATAGGGTATAATTCACGTCAGGGTGCCATCAACTCTTACGGAAATACAGGCCCAGAACCGGGAGTGTGGCTCAGCAGTATGGTGCTTGCCTAGCCAGAATATACAAGCATGAGGCCCTGGGTTCCATCCCCAGGTCTTGGGGGGGGGGTGTGGGGGGAGGGGAGAACAGGTACAATATTGTCAGTCTCTCACCTGTCTCCTCCCCAAAAAGCAGGAAATGTGAAGTTCAGATGAAGTATTTCATATTTTAATTATTTCTAAACTATGCTAGCAAGCATAGGCTCTGAGTTCATTCCCCAGTACCACCCCAAAAAAAAGTACTCCAAGTCAAACAGAACACATCCATTAACTAAATATAGCTGTCAGGTTTGTACTCTTTTCTGTGGAGCTAGTTTTGAGGAGGCCCCTATTGTCCTGGCATTAGAGTGCTAGATAACTTTGGCTAGCTGCTTGAAGTAAACATTGACACATGTAAGTATCAAGTTAGGATTTTAGAGTATTTTTGTTTTGTTTTGTTTGTTTTTGGTGGTACTAGGGTTTGAACTCAGGACCTCACGTTTGCAGGTGCTGTACCACTTGAGCCATTCCGCCAGGCCTAGGCAAGCACTTTACCACTGAGCTACATCCCTAGCCCTTAGTATTTGTTGTTAATGGCTATATTTCAGGATCTGGAAAGAAAAACTCTTTCCCAAGTCATCATAAAGAATATTTAGCAGGGTGCTGGTGGCTCACGCCTATAATCCAAGCTGCTCAGGAAGCAGAGATCAGGAGGATCGAGGTTTGAAGCCAACCCTGGGCAAATAGTTCAAGAGACCCTATCTCGAAAAAACCCATCACACAAAAGTATTGGAGTGGTATACCTTCCTACCAGCATGAGGCCCTGAGTTCAAATCTCAGTGCCGCCCAAAATAAAAAAACTTTTCATTCATTAATGCTGTAAAGGTAAATGTAATTCATAAAAGTCCATATAAGTTTGCCTCTTTAATCTAGTTTCACTACAGTTTCTGCTGTACCATATGACCCTCAAAAAGTCCTATCTTTAGTGAGCACTGAAGCCAGCACTTAGGAACAACACTTCAGCTGAGTGCATCTGTACTTGTGTTTGCCTTCTGCATGCACAAGCTGAAGTAAGCACACTGAGCTCTTGGCCTCTGCCAGACTCCATGTGCTGTCTGGGGCCTCTCAATTCCCATTTGAAGGAAAAGCCATTTTCATATAAGTGTGAGGCAGTGCTTCAGAGACACTGAGCTGAAATGTGTCCAGTCCATAGCTAGTATTGCAGATGGTGGGCTGGCGTCCTTGGTGGCCCTCTCCAGACCCCATTGCTAAGCTCCTGCTCTTAGTCTTTGTGGCAGCAAATGCTTGCTGAGGCTACGTGTCTGTGTCACCTCCAGGATTATGATGTTGATGAAGAGGACATGATGAACCAGGTGTTGCAGCGCTCCATCATCGACCAATGAGCGGAGTCCTTGCTGTCTGTACGTGTTAAGTGTGAACCTTTGATTCCTACACCTTACCTTCTTAGCCACCTTACCTGCACAACAGGCCTGGAAACGAGCCATGGCATGGGGCAGGGTCACTTCCGATGGGGGGGAGGGTCCCTAGGTCAGAGCCCTCTTTGTTTTGGGCTCTTTCCAAAGCTGTCTTCTCCACTGTTAACCTTGTTTATCATATGGTTTAGTCTTACTGGTTCTCAGCTACTTCTTGGAGCTTCTGCCTCTTCTGGAAGAATATCCAGCTTTCCACCTCCACATATTCCTGTTTCCCATTTGTCCCTCCTGTCCAGTGTTCATTTCTCAGGTCCTCTGAGCCAGTCAGGACCTTTTCAGGGTCATAAATAGCACAATAAGACAAGCATTTGCTTTCCTTGTCCCTGAGGCATGTGAACTCTGGCATTAGTGCATCTGAACAGAGCCAAAACCCCTCTGTGCTGCCAAGCTTGCCTGCCGGTGGGTTTTGGCAGCATCCCAGGAGACATTTCAAGAGCTCTCTTGGGGCAAACATTCTGGGTTTCACATGATCTGATGCTGGAAGTTTTGATTAATAATATTTTCCTATGCCTCTTGCACACCTTTAGAATTAACTGGTTCCGTCTTAAATGCCTGCATGGTGCCTTTTTAGGATATATTTTTAGTGGGAGTGTTTCTAGGTTAGGAAAGTTCAAATGCATTTATTCGTAAGTGGGGAGGAGGGTCACATAAAGGTGGGAAGGCTGTAGCCTGTTGTGTGCCTCTCTATTGAGAGCCACCCTGCTTTCATTCTTGTTCTGAGGCATGAAAAGCAGCCCTCAAATAATGAAAGAGGTTTGGGGCTCCAGTGGCTACTAGTACTTTTATTTTTTAACTTAGATTAAATCTAGCACACATGGTTTCCTTATGACACTGATTTCAACTTGTAAATCTGTTTCTAGAACTCTGCCTTTCAATGCAGAAAGAGGCTCTAGGGAACCCAGTGTCGCACCCTGTTTGTGCTATTAGGCAGGCACGAAACATCTATAAGCAGTTAGAGAAGTTTACTTCAGTAGCAGCTCAAGATGCTTGAAGTTCACTTGAAGCTTAAATACAAGGCTCTGAGCTGTCAGCTTGATCTGCAGGAGCAGGTCCTCAAACTGACCAAAAGGCATGTGCATTTGGGTTTGTTCTCTTACATTGCACATCTCGAACTAAATACGGAAGTTTCTTTTCTGGTCCATGGCTGAGGTTGCAAGTAGTGGTGGGCTTTGCTCCATGCACGGCTGCTATGGGCCTCTCCCCTCCCGCCAGGGAAGGGGGATGTCTAATAACCAGCAAAGATGGGGCCCATTTGGGGCAAAATAATTTTTTCTAATGTTATTACTTGGAAGGATCCAAATGTTGAGGTCTGCTACTTCACTGTAATCTCTGGAAAAAGTTAACTTAAGCCTCTGAATTGAGATCATCTCGGTAGAAGCTGGGAGAGAAGAGAAGTTGGACAAAACCTTCACTTGAGGGAACTGAGAAGAACACGTCCATCTCACTGATGGAACTGAGAAACTTTTCCTTGTATTAAGTGCACTTCATGTATTTCTAATAAGATGACTTTCCAGAAAGTGGAATTTGTTATGTTCTGGCTTTTAAGAGGTGATACAAATAAATTTCATAATTTATCCAACTGGTAGGTTGTAATGTGTGTTTTCATTAAATACCATTTGCTGCAATCTGGGCCTGGGCATTCCAGGTTATTTACTCTGAAGGGGAGATCTTGTCTGTCCCTGAGTCCACCCTGGCTTCTAGTCACAGCTCTAACGGACACTTTACCACCTGGGCCTCCCAGGGCTCATCCTCTGGAAAACAACCCCCACTTCTCACCATTGGGAAGCAGTGCTCCATAAAACAAAGTTATAGACCTTCGACCTTAGCTGTGTTCAAATAATATAGCAGCAGTGCTGAGACATTGGGGTGAAGGCTTTCTGCATGCTGAAACGTCAGGTCATGGATGTTGAAGTGACACACGCTGCCAGTAGCTAACATTGGGCAAATGCCTCTTTCTAAACATAACAATGATCTGCCTCTTAAGGATATTAGGGTTCAAGGGGCAGTGGATGCAGAACCCTGGCCTAGTGTTGCACTGTGGTTACTGCTGGTTTTGTCTCCTGGGTTTCTCCATTCCCATCCTTGTCCTATAGGGACTTTATTTTATTTTTGCTGTACTGAGGCTTGAACTCAGGGCTTCGTTGCTGGCTAGGCAGATGCTCTACCACTTGAGCCATTCCACCAGCCCTTTTTGTATTGGTTACTTTTGAGATAGTGTCTAACTTTTTTGGCCTGGACTGGCCTCAAACCACAATAATCCTGATTGCTACCTTCCTAGTAGCTAGGATTAGAAGTGTGAGCCACCAGTACCCAGCTGAACTTTCTTGAAATGTACAAGTAGACAAAGGCAAAATTTCTGCATTTGTTTTAAATATATATCTAAAAATAAATGTGTATTTCATCTACAATGATAGAAATGCTTGCATTCATTTTGGCCAAAAGCCTTTTTTTTTAAATTTCCTTTTTGCAAAAAATGGTCGTTTTTCTTTTCTTTCTTTTTTTTTTTTTTTTTTTGCAGTATCAGGGGTTTGAACTCAGGACCTATACCTTGAGTCATTCTACCAGCCTTTTGTTGTGATGGGGTTTTTTGAGATAGGGTCTGCCTTTGAACCTCGATCCTGCTGATCTCTGCCTCCTGAGTTGCTAGGATTACAGGTGTGAGCCACTGGCGCCTGGCTAGTCATTTTTCCTGAATCTGAGCACATTCTGTATTTACTTAGGCATTTTGAGCCAACACTCTGGAAGTGCTGGGGATTCACACATTAATCAAATTAATTGTAAACTGGCAAGTACTCTTGGTAAGGGATTAATAAAGAAGAGCTGTTTAATAGTAAATTGTGTCCTACTTCATAAACTACAAACCAGGAGTCCCCAAGCTTCCAGGAGCATCTAATCTTTCCTCTTCTCCCTTGTGACTTTAAGTGCCTCCTGCTATTGCTCTTTCCAAGTGCGTGAGTGTGATACACTTTCCTCCGCTGTCTTAGCTACCAGCCCAAATTTCTCCTTGTTCACAGCCAGATATCTTGAGCTGGTCGTCATGTACCAACCATCTTGTATCTTATTTCTCAATTTTATTCCCCAAACCACTCCAACCTGCCGTTGGTACTCCAACCCCCAGCCCTGAAACTGCTGTCACCAAAATAAGACCTGTCACTCAATCCAGCAGGTGCCTAATCGTTCCCTAGTTACATCTTCAGTGCATTTAGTGCCCTTGATCTCTCCTTTGTAACTTCAGTGGCTTTTTTTGGCTTTTCTGTTGCTGTGCCATTCTGGTTACTCTTGCCATCTCTGCTGTACTCCTTTTCAATTTCCTTAGCATCCTGCTCCACCTGGTTCCCTTCTCTTAACTATTAGAGCCCTCTGCTCCTTCTCACACTATGCCTTCTCCCTGGGCAGACACCCTTTCACCACTTTGTCCAGGTTTCTGTTACCACTGATGTGTCAGTGCAGCAGGTCAACAGTTCTAGAGCAGATTGCCTTGAAGCTTCCCCTAGATCAGATTGCCTTGCCCTGTTTCCTGCTGGAGCTAAACTCATCCTCTACCCTTTCACAACCCAAACCCCATGTTAGGGTTCTCTTTTCCTGCAGATGATACCACCATCCTTTCAGTAGCTCAGGAATTAACTGAACATCAACTTTAGCTCTCTAGTGTACCCCAATTTGATTATTACCAAATCAGATTGATTGTAGCTCCCAAATAACACGTTTGTGTTTTCTTACAATCTCCCTGACACTAACATCTTTAAGACCACCATATCCTCATCTGAATTACTGTCACAACTTCCCATGTGCCCTCTCTCCATTACTAACTGATCTTCAATCCATGGCTCCATCTTGCAGCCAAAAGGATCTCCCCAGGCTCCAAATGTGATCATATGCTTTAAAACCTTGTAATTACCCTAGAGTCCCGAGGCTTCACTGTGGCCTCAAGGCCCTGGGTGCTCTGCTCACTACCTCCTCTTCAGCCTCAGCTTCTGGTGCTCGCTTCTGCGCTCTGCTCCAGCGTAACGTGGATAACCTCCCCACCTCAAGGACTGCACACATACCCTTCACTCTGGAGTGTTTGGAGTCTCTCCTGTCTGTGTACATCAGAATTTTATGTATGATCTTGTAGAAACTGTTTATGGTACTGGGTTTTGAACTCAGGGCCTACAATCTTGAGCCACTCCACAAGCCCTTTTTTGTGATAGATTTTTTTCAAAATAGGGTCTCTTGAGCTACTTGCCCAGGCTGGCTTCGAACTGTGATCCTCCTGATCTCTGTCGCCTCTGCAGCTAGGATTATAGGAGTGAGCCATGGCGCCCTGCTATTGCCAAACCTTCTAATCAGGCATTTGTTGAACTTGTGTCTCAACACACCTGCTAGACTAGGACTTCCCTGAAGGCAGGCTTTCTTGCTGTGTTTACCTCTGGAGCCCCACTGCTCAACATTGGGGCTGCCAAATAGGACTAGAACAGTTTCAGTTAAATAGGAGTTTCAAACAGTTATTTTTTTGGCAGTACTGGGGTTTAAACTCAACCTCACGCTTGCTAGGCTGGTGCTGTTATCACGTGAACCACTGTGCCAGCCCTTGACCAAAGATTATTTGTTTATTTGAAACTCACTTTTAAGTAACGTAGCCTGGTTTTTTGTTTTGTTTTGTTTTTTGCAATGCTGGGAGTTGAACCTAGGCCTTGTGCATACTGGGTAAATACTACACCACTGAGCTACGTTACCAGCCCCAAAAGATTAGTTTTTTGGGGGGCTTAGTTTTTTGGAGACATAGTCTTGCTATATAGCCTACAGCCCCTACAGCCTCTGGTGTTTTGGAGACAGGGTCTCAATATGTCGCTCAGGTTGACCTTGAACTAACTATCCAAGTACTGGGATTATAGACGGGCTACCCCATCTGGCTGTGTTTTATTTTCTGGTACTGGGGATCGAACCTAAGGCCTTGGTTTGAGCATCGATTTTGTTTGTTGAGATGGTCTTCCTATGTATGCCATGCTGACCTGGAACTCACAATCCTGCCTCAGCTTCCCCAGTGCTGGAATTCATCACACCACGTCCAGCGAACATCCTGGTTTTTGTTTTTGGGTCCCCTCCCCAAGTACTGGATTTTAGCTCAGAACGTCCCACTTGCTAGTATGGATGCGGTACTCTTAGCCAGCTACACCACCAGCCCTAGTCCTGTATTTTTATTTATTTATTTATTTTTTTGGTGGTACTGGGGTTTAAACTCAGGGCCTTATCCTTGCTAGGCAGGCACTATATCATTTGAGTCACTCCACCAGCCCTTTTTTTGTGAGGCATTTTCAAGATAGGGTCTCTGGAACTATTTGCCTGGGTTGGCTTCAAATCCAGTTCAGAAGGCTGATCTCTGCCTGCTGAGTAGCTAGGATTCTATTCCTGTGTTTTTATTTATTTATTTATTTATTTATTTTTGTTTATTTATTTATTGCAGTACTGGAGTTTGAACTCAAGGCCTACACTTCGAGACATTCTACCAGCCCTTTTTTTGTAAAGGGTTTCTGTGAGATAGTGCTCGGGCTGGCTTCAAACTGTGATCCTCCTGATCTCTGTCTCCTGTGTAGCTAGGCTTATAGGTTTGAGCCACTGGCACCCCACTTTCTAATCCTGTGTTTTTAATTGACAGAGTCTGGCAACTGTATTCAATGTATATTAGCAGAATGTTTTGGACATACTGTCACGTCATGCACTGCATACCTCATTAAACAAGTTACGAAATCATTTGTTCCCATGTCTGTCTCCCACACAAGAGAAGTTCTGAGGACAACCACTATGTCTTGTGTACCACTACACGTGATGTTGAGTATACTCGATAAATATTCACAGAGTTGAAATGGTTCTCAATGGGGGCCTTTTCCACTGGTTATTTACTTCCCATGGTAACTGCGCCATGCTGGAAGGAGAGCTGGGTGCAGCAGTGAGGAGAATGTGAGGGGAGCCTCCCCAGGCTTACCCTGGGAGGGGAGTCCTCACCCAGAAGCCGGAAATTGGAAGGTAGGAGAGGTAAGACTCATGGACAGACCAAGGTGATTGCTGCCAGGAGATACCTGACCTGCCCAGGTCCCCATATGGTCCTTGGATATACTTCTTGCCTTTGTTCCTCTTTTGTTATGCCCTGGGGGCTCAGCTGGGCACCAGGAATACAGGATTAACAACGATGGGCAGGCTGGTGGCTCACGCCTGTAATCCTAGCTACTCAGGAGTCAGAGACCAGGAGGATCTTTTTTTTTTTTTTTTTTTTTTTTTTTTTTCCTGGCCAAGAGATTATTGTGCAGAGAGAGAGAGAGAGAGAGAGAGAGGCAGGGGCTTAAACACCCCTCAGTGGGCAGTGAGACTCGGCATGATCTGATTGGTTAGGATCTTATGGTTCATGCCGATTGGAGATTGGGACAGAAGGAGGATTCAAGCTAGACTTGCGGCAGGACCGTGACCCTGGGAAACAGAAGCTTAAGGGTGCAGTAAGAACCAAAACCTATAGGCGCCATTATTGCCAACATTCCTCCCTTTTTTGTTTGTTAAGAAAGAGGGGCGTTGTGTTCGCTCTGGCTTCTTCGAGCTGGCAAGGGGCGGCGTAGGGAAGGGAGGGTTAGTTGGCAAACAATGTCGGGGTGCTGAGCCTCATGGTGGTATACACCCAGGCTCCGAAAATGAAGATTTCCTCTTCCCTGAAGTTGATGAAGGTCCCTTGCAGCCACAGGTCATAAAGAGTCTCGAGCCAATCCTTCGACCTCTGCATGGTGGGTATCAGCCAACTATCCTCGCATAGGGAGTCGAGGAATTGTAGCAGGCATCCTGTAAGGAGATCTTGATGTTTATAACCCGGTGTCCCGGTAGGGTCCATTATAGGTGTCCTCTGGTTGTGCTATCAGGGCTTGGTATCCTTGGAGGAGAGGCAAAGAATGTCCGGTGTTGGATGCAAGCAGGGCGATTGGGAGGATGAGTCCTGGCCAGTCATGTCCTCAGGGTGACCGTGGGGTGAGTCGGAATCAGGGTCCCACCAGGATTAGTGGGGAAACCTGCTCCAAGTGACCACGCAGAGAGCAGTGATCTGGCCAAGAGATTCTTTATTGCCAGTTGGGAGAGGGAGAGAGCCAAGAACCCAGGAGGATCTTGGTTCAAAGCCAGCCTGGGCAAATAGTTCCCAAGACCCTATCTCAAAA